GTTGTTAAGAGGAAAGTGAGGGAGGAGAATGGCCACTCAGCCTTTTATGCCCTCACATGGGAGGCACAGTACACATACATGACCATGAAGAACACTGCTATTCAGAAGAAATCCAATCTTGTGCACATGAACACCTACAGTGGGACCCACACTTGACACATAAAAGAAAGAGTGGATCTTATAAACATTGATCGTGACCAACATTAGAGCTAGTTGGAACATTTTTGACAAAATAAAGTATCAAAACATTTTGGTTTCAACTAAGACTTCATCAAAATATCTTGGGTTTTTTTGGGTCGGGGAAGATAAAGTGACCCTCACACTATAGCCTAGTGGCCTGAGATGTGGGCCACTCAGTCTCAAGTCCCTGCTCTGCAAGAATCAGAGTGATCTAGTGTGAAAAACTCTGCTTTGAATCAGGCAGGACTTGAACCTGCGTCTCCCATGTACCAGAGCACTACCCTAACCACCAAGCTACACATACATGAATCATTCAGGCATTCAGATAGCTCTTCTCAAATTGAACTTTTCTGCACAATTCCATTTTCACAAAAACAGTTGAAAGGGTTGGTTTTCATTCCGAAGCAGAACACACAAATTTTTCAACCTCAAATGCAGAATTGTCATCCTCCTGTTAGACCTAACCAATACCACCACCAATTCTCATCTTCTCCTTGTCTTTTGGCTTTTCTCCTTTCGTTCAGCCTCTGAAACCTGATGGCAACAGAACTTTTTGAGAAAGGGCACCTCTGCCCATGCCTCCTCCTGACTGAGATAGAGGTGCAGGTATAGTTCCAGCATCTCTCCTTTAGAGGTTATGGGGTGCTTTTCACTGTGGGGATGTCTATGTGAAATTACCCATACTACAATAATCTTAATAAACCAACAACAACAAAATTAAAAAACGAGAATGAAATAAAACAAAAGAAATGGTTTACTTAACACATCTAAATTAATCATTCTTATGACTGATTCTAAATAAGACATTGGAAACTTCTCTTTTGTCCAGAGACCAACTCTTGCTCTGTGCTCCTTAGTTACTTAAGCCCTTCCCCTGATTTTCCTAACCAGTTACACAAAAACACTCCAGGACTAGGAGAATTACTCATCCTGCAGGAGACAGCACAATGAGGGATGATGACTAACAATAGCAAATAATGACCTTTCAAAGGCTGAACAACCTTGCTCAGCCACCACCTTGCATGGACCACCACAGCTGACTATACCCAGATTCAGACAGGCCTCTTGCTTAACTTCTCCAAGCAATTATTTCTTTTACCAAGAAATGCCTTATGACAAGGTCCTCAGACCTTCCATCACAGTTATGAAGGAAGAAGCAACAGGATTTGGATACTGCCTGGATTTCTGGGTCCAAAGAGAGGGGCTTGTGCAACACAAAATGCCCAGGGGATGACGACTATGCTTTCACACTGGTGGAGGGAGAGGAATGAGCTTGAGTAGACAATGAACTCAGTTTGAGATTTAACATCAAAAGGTGAAACCAGAACTTCCACAAGACATCTGAAAGATAGGCCAAAATGTGAAATTGGATGGAGTCAGACAGATTAGGATTAGAAAGTTAAATTCCATCTGGAGGATCCACTTAGCTAGGTAAGCACTCAATGGCCTGATGTGAGATGCAAGAAAAATTGCCCCATCAATTATTTCCCAGGAGAGATTTTTTTTGCTGGTTTGTGTTGAACAGCACACCAACATTTGACAAACCTAGATGAGCCAGAATCTCTGACTCCTGAACAGCTTAGTGTTCATAGACACATAAGGAACTGCACAAGTCAGTTGAGGTGGGACAGGATAGTAAACTTCCGCCAATAAAGGCTGTCAGCATCACAACAGTGAACTTTGTGAAGATGCGGGAGCAAATACAAAACCAAATGATAAGGTGGCATATTAAAAATGCATTTGAGACAGAGCAAGACATAGATATTTTTAAAACAAAAGAAATATGTAGATAGGCATTCCTTAGGTATCTGGAAGTGAAAATCTCCTGGTTCTGCTACTGCTGTGACAAACCAAATAGTCTAGATCTTGAATTTTCTGCAGACTGTAAAAAACTCCAAACCCATATCCTCAACTGACACAGCAGGACATCTCTGGTCCAACCCAAACAGCCAGTCACTCTCTGAACCTGACATTTTGATTAGATGTTGACATAGAGCAGTGGTTTTCAAACTACGGGTCGCAAGCCAGTACTGGGTCACGGAATGTAAGGCATTGGGTCACAGTGGCACTGGTCAGCACCGCCAACCGGGCCATTAAAAGTCCCTGTTCTGACACAGCGCTGCCCCCTGGAGGTGGGGGGGGAGGGTTCCCATTGGCCAGGAACCACCAGCAGCAGTGCAGCCTTCAGAGCCAGGCAGCCGGCCAGCAGCTGCCGCTCTCCGCTGTGCCTTCAGAGCTGGGCGCCTGGCTGAAGGCAGTGCTGTCACCTGCAGCAGCACTGAAGTAATGTTGGCATTGTATTGCCACCCTTATTTCTGCACTGCTGCTGCTGGTGGCAGCAACACTGCCTTCAGAGCTGGGCACCCAGCCAGCAGCCACCACTCTGGCTGCCCAGTTCTGAAGGCAGTGCAGAAGCAAAGGTAACAATACCGCCTCCCCCTACAGTAGGCTTACAACCCCCCCTTTGGGTCAGGACCCCCAGTTTGAAAAACACTGTGAAAAATCACACTTTTTGTGGGCTGATCATAGCAAATTTTGCTGTTGATGCCACGACCAACGCACGAAAATGTGATTTCTCCTTAATTTAAGTAGACCCCTAGGTATAGGAAGCAGCAGCAAGATTTAAACACAACTAGGAAGTGAATGGCAAAACAATGAGCAGAATCAAAGAGGACAGATATCCACCTCCAGAAGTTTCAAAATTTTAGAAAGCTGCTTCACAAGTCATATTTCCACCCACTCCCATCTCTTCAACAGCCAAGTTAATTCCACTGATTAGCCACAAGGCATTCTCTCAAATAAGAAATGCCTCCACCCATTTCCATTTCATATCTGGGCTTCTAGAGCAGTGCTCCCCAAACTTTTTCTGTCGTGCCCCCCTACCAGTAATGGAATCTGTCCACACCCCGCCAGAAGTCGTCATTGGGAGTGGGGCAGGGTGGCACTCCCTCCCCACCCACCATGGGGGCTGGCCTGGACCCTGACACATCCCCTGAACGTTCCTCCATGCCCTCCTAGGGGGACATACCCCACAGTTTGGGGATCACTGGTCTAGAAAGTTGTATAACTCGTGTTTCCTAAGAGGCATAAGGACCTTCCCTTTTATTTTTCTAGAATAAAGTTTTCCACTCGCAAACTCAGACTTGTTTCTTGCAATAAAAAATGAAATATGATTGTAACATAAATATTTCAAAGTGACACATTCAAAAACGTGGAAAAGACTTGAAGTAAAAGCCAGCGAGTACTTTTTCCTCAGAAAAAAAAATAGCTGCAGTCCGGATAACGGAGAACTTTTGTTTCCCAGTTACAAGGTTTCTTAATCCAACAAATTCTTCTCTCCCAAGAAATTAGCTGAAACTAAACTTTAACAAAAAACATAACAACAAAACCCCACTCCGTAAATGAATTTAAAATGGCAGAGAAACATAACACATGCATCTGATGAAGTGGGTTATATCCCACGAAAGCTTATGCCCAAATACATTTGTTAGTCTCTAGGGTACCACAAGGACTCCTCCTTGTTTTTACTGATACAGACTAACACAGCTACCCCTCTGAAACATGTCACACACACAGGTTCCCAAGATGTAGCCGGTCTATGAGTTTCCTCTGTCCAGGAGGCTGCAGCTCACAGTGGTGATCTGCAAGGCTGCAGCCACCAGAGGCCGAGA